AGGGGGGGGGGGGGGAGGGAGGAGGAGGGGGGGGAGAGGGGAGGGGGAAGCAGGGGGCCCCAGGAAGGGGAGGGGCAGGAGCGCCCCAGGAGGGGAGGGGGAAACAGGGGCCTCAGAAGGGAGCTTTCCCTTTTCAGGGGCTGCCCAGAGAGAGCAGCTACCCCTCCCAGCTAGGAGAGGGTCTGATGCCACCCCCCTGGGCTGCTCTGCTTCAGGCAGTTGTGCTGTGGCTCCTGGGGGCATTAATGAGACTAGCCTGAGGGCCCAGGATGGGAAATGCTTCCCTGCCCTGCAGGTGAGAGGCTGGTGCAAGCACCCTGGCCTGCTGGGTGCTCCCTTCTGAACGGGGGAAAGCCGAACACTGCGGAGCCCCACGCACTCCTAGGTAGTGTTGGGCATTAGCCTTTCTTTCCTGGCCAAACTCCACCTTTGGCTGTTTCAGTACAGCAGGTCTCTTCCCAGACTACTGTGCCCTGTTAAACGCCTCCCACACCCCAGCCTAGAGGTGCCTGCGTTCCCATGGTAAAGCTCTTTGCAATCCCTGTGTCTGAAAGGAGCTAATAGAAAAGATTATTATAAGCTACTCTGAGTCAGTAGCAGCTGTTTCTGAATACCAAGAACACTGCTCTTTTCCAGCCTGCCAACAAAATGCTTAGGAGGCATGTGTATCCCCAAGCTTATGGCACCTGAAAGGTTAATTCCTCCTCGCACCTGTGTCTCATCTTGCAACCTTGCTTTGCTTCCTGTGAGCAGAAAGCGTCCCCAATGCAAATCATTTGGCTCCCAACTTTGAACTAGCCAAGCAAAGAGTGTGGTTGGCAGCATGGGGTATCACCATTATCCTCCAGTAAAGAGGATTCAGTGTATTTGGTGGGGGATTTATTGGTGATCCTGGATGGCTCAAAGGATTGGGAGTGGGATGAGTTATATAGTTCCCTTTGTGTCAGGGTCAGGAGTAACTAGGGTGACCAGACATCATGATATTATCAAGACCATTCTGAAATTAGGGGCTTTGTCTTAAAAAGGACCATATTACCCCCCCTTCCATTACTCCCCTGCATCCCAATTTTTCACATTTGCTCTCTGGTCACCTAAGAAATAACCAAAAGTCTTTCTCTTCTTTAGTGGCTGGTGTGAAATGATTTGGCATGTTCCGCTCAGAGTGGATGCATCTCCAAATCGTACCAGCCTCCCTGTGGGTAGCAGAAGCCACCTACAGGCAGTGTCTCATTTCTAGAGGTGATGCCCAGTTTTCAAGTGTGTTAGTGCCCAGTACAGGAAAGACTGGGAACACTCTCTTCAGACTGTATGGTCAGACAAATACAGTTATAGAGTCAGAGTACTAGAACTGGAAGGGACCTCGAGAGGTCATCAAGTCCACTCCCCTTCCCTCATGGCAGGACCAAGCACCGTCTAGATTAGGAGTGGGCAATAATTTTTGAAGGGGGCCACTTCACAAATTTCAGAAGTGGCCGCGGACTGACCCAGAAGGGGTGGGGCATTGGGCGGAAGGAGTGGGATTGACGACTACCCTGTGGAGAGCTTTGCTTGGCCTCGGGTCCCGACCTCCTGACTTCTGGCCAATGGAGGGTGCTGGAGGCTAGCCTCCTCCCAGAGTTGTCTGGGGTGGAGGCTTAGAATTCACATAACATGGCTGGCAGCTCCTGGCCCTGCTGCTAACCTGTTGCCTGGTAGCCACCCAGCACTGACCCACAGAAAAATCACTTGGGGACCACACAAGTGAGAAGCAAAAAAACTCCTCCAAAAATCTCCAGCGCTCACTGATGTGGCTGCACCTGAGGGTATGTCTACACTACAGAGTTTTTTTCAGAAAAACGGCCGTTTTCCCGAAAAAGCTTCATTTTCATCCACACTGCAGGGAGGAGGGAGCGCTCTCCAGCAGCTTCATGGGGGAGGAAGGGCAGGGCTGAGCTTCCTCCCACGTGCTGCTGAAAATTGACTTGCTTGCCATAAGTTGCCCACATGCCATAGGTTGCTGACCCCTGCACTCGGGGGTGGGGCCTGGAACTGCCTTGCAAGCCCGATCAAAGCCCTAGGAGGGCCAGATCCCACCTGCTAAGAGGCTTTTGTCCACCCCTGGTCTAGATCATCCCTGACAGATTACTATCCAATCTGCTGTTAAATATCTCTAGTGATGGAGACTCCACAGCCTCCCTACACTATTCCAGTGTTTAACCACCCTGACAGGAAGTTTTTCCTAATGTCCAACCTAAACCTCCCTTATTGCAATTTAAGCCCATTGCATCTTATCCTCTCAGTCTTCTCTTTTCTAAACTAAACAAGCCCGATTCTTTCAGTCTTCCCTCATAGCTCATGTTTTCTAGCCCTTTCATCATTTTTGTTGCTCTTCTCTGGACCTTCTCCAATTTCTTCACATCTTTCTTGAAATGTGGTGCCCAGAATTGGACACAACACTCCAACTGAGGCAGAATCAGGGCAGAGTAGAGCGAAAGAATAACTTCTCGTGTCTTGCTCACAGCACTCCTGTTAGTGAATTCCAGAATCATGTTTGCTTTTTTTCTGTAACAGTGTTACACTGTTGGCTCATTTTTAGCTTGTGGTGCACTATGAACCCTAGATCCTTTTCTGCAGCACTCCCTCCTAGACAATCGCTTCCTATTCTGTATGTGTGAGACTGATTGTTTCTTCCTAAGTGAAGTACTTTGCATTTGTCCTTTATTGAATTTCATTCTATAATTTCAGACCATTTCTCCAGTTTTTCATGATGATTTTGAATTATAATCCTATCCTCCAAAGCACTTGCAACCCCTATAAGTAATGCACCTCAAGTTCTGCCAATGCACCTCAATCCTGATCTACAATGACCTCTGGCATTCCCGTTCCAGTGCCACCCCAGCTCTGCCCATGCACATAGTCCTTATCTACAGTCTCCATCACTATTCTAATCCCAAGGCCCCTGCTGATGCATCTCATTCTGGTCTACAGCATCCCCAGCTATTCTAAACATGAGCTCTCACTCTGTTCAGCCAAAGCACCTCATCCCTCCCTCTCTGGTACTTATACAGCCCCACCACCGCGAGCAGTTCCCTTCTGAGCTTTTCTCATGTCATGTGGATCATGTCTGCTAAGGACTAAAAGGGGACTAGATTCTAACGTGAGCTACGCAGGCATCCTCTGGAATAACCCCTGTTGCTGGGCATATGTGACTGAGAGGAATTTTGCATGGTCTCTTACAATATGGCTATGTCTATACTAGCGGCTTCTTGCACAAGTAATATGCAAATGGGGCTAAGCGTGGAATATCGCGGAGCCTCATTTGCATACCTAAGGAGCCACCATTTTTTTCAGAAGAGGCTCTTGCACAAGAAGGAGCGTCTACACTGCCCCGTCTTGCGCAAGAAAAACCCTCTTGCGCAATGCTGTTACACCTATTACTTTTCAGGAAGAATGGCGTTGCGCAAGAGGGTTTTTCTTGCGCAAGACGGGGCAGTGTAGACGCTCCTTCTTGTGCAAGAGCCTCTTCTGAAAAAAATGGTGGCTCCTTAGGTATGCAAATGAGGCTCGGCGATATTCCACGCTTAGCCTCATTTGCATATTACTTGCGCAAGAAACCGCGAGT